CATCGTCCACAGGGCAGCGTCTGTGCTTGAACGACTGTACCTTCCTCTCGAAGCTTCCTCTCCCTTGGAATTGCCCAAGAACCCTCAGGTCCTGTGTGTCAGAAAGAGGGAGGCGGAGGGCCCAACTTCTGCACCTCGGCCAGGAGAATTGGAAAGCTGATCCGTTCCCACTGCAGGGGACAGCGTGGGGCCAGGAGGAGGAAGCTGGCCCCGTGCCAGCCAGAGCACAGGGCAGGCCACAGTTCTCTGGGGGTGCTGATCCAATGGTGACCAGGGGCGACTGGCGGTGACCACCTGCTCAGCTCTGCTCCCGAGGCGACGGCCCACAGCCCCGGGGGCCTGTGTGTGCTGTATGCAGCCATTCTCCCAGGGCCAGGCAGCTGGGGCTCCTGGGTCCACCCCTCCCAGACTGGACCAAAGCTTGAGTCCCTTTTGCTTCCCCAGGATCCACGCTGGGGTTGGGGCTACTTCTCCTTTCCAGATCTGAAAACGTAAGCAGCCTCTCATTCCTGTGCATCTGAAGGTTCCCAGGAAGCCACAGGCCCCTGCCGCCCCCCCCCCGAGGGCTCCCGCAGAGCCCCTTCCCCTGCCCCGGAACAGGAACCATCAAGGCGGCTCTCGCAGAACCGAGGGAAAATGAGAGGCAGTGTGGTCTCAGGGGCGCCCCCTGCCATCCTTCCTTCTCAGCGCTCAGACAGCAAGGAGAGGGCAAAGCTGAGGCCAGGATCGGGAGGTGGAGTCTTTGCTTTTCCTCATCCAGGCCCAAGGCCACCAGATGGGAGCTCCCAGAAACAGACGGCCGAGTGCGCTGTGTGTCTGTGTCCCCAGGCATCTGGCTCCAGAGCCTGAGCTGTCAGCCAGCCCGCGTCTGGACGCAGGGAATGCTTGTTGAGTGGCTGACAGATGAACGAAGAGCTCTCTGAAGGGGTGGGGGTCAGCCAGAGGTGCTGGGGTGGGCAGAAGAGGGAGAAACCGACCAGGAAAGCAGGCCAGGGGAGAGAGGCCGTTCTTCCAGGCACAGAGAGTGAGGCGCATCAGGAGAGGGGCACCAGGGTTGCGGAAGACACAGCAGCTGTCTCTGGGAGACCCCTGTTGACTGCTGGATGCCTCCACGTGCTCAGTGGGGGTGGGGGAGTGTGAACGCAGGGTCTAGTGGGAGCAGCAGCCCCAAAAGGGGACGGTGTGAGGGAACCAGTCCCTGGAGACAGCAAGCAACAGCCGTTGAAACTGTAACTTCCCATGGTCCAAGCCAAGTGGACAGTAAGCATGCTGTCCTCGCCAGGGTCCAGGGCTCAGGCTCCCCTTGCCCCAGCACCCTCTGGGCCCATCCTGGCTCCCTGGGCCCAGCCACAGGCCTCAAGGAGGGCCTTTGGGACACGGGCAGCCTGGAGCAGGCGTGGGATCCCTGAGAGCAGCAGGCACGGGGAGCGCGTGCCAGGGGCAGGAGCAGCAGCCCCCCTGCTGCAGCGGAGCCCAAGCATCCGGGTCCAGGAGTCAGTTCTGCACCTCCCAGCCTCAGTCACGCGTGCCGTGCAGGTGGACCTCACAGTGCTGTCAGTGAGGATTAAGTGGATTAGAAGGAAGCAAGGCACCGAGCGCAGAGCCCAGCGTGTGGCCAGCGGGATGATGGCAGCCTCCCTGGGCCCAGGGCTGGCACAGGTGTGCCAAGGAACCAGGGACAAGTGACCGAGTCGCTCCCAGCCCGGGACCTTTCCAAGAACCTAGCTGGCATCCGTCCCTCCCCCAGCTGGGGCTCCAGGCCCGGGACTACAGGAGGTTTCTCACCGTGGCAGGCAGATCGCTGGCTGGGGGTGTGGGCAGCCACAGTGACCGACCCTCGGCAGGATGGATGCGGCTTTGCTGACAGAGAGTCTGCGGCCAGGACATGCCAGCGGTGCAGCTCTGAGGTCGGCACTGGGGAGCCAGGCCTACCACGGCCTCGCCACCCCGGCCAGGGCCCCACCAGGGGCAGGCATCTGCTTTCAATCAGCTGCCCTGGCCCCGGAAACCAGAGGGGCTGGGCCCGCCCTGCAGGGCCCCTGTCTGGCCTTGGAGAGTATACAGGGGACAAAGGGGACAAGAAAAAGCTGTAGGGACCCAGACCGAGGCACGAAGTCCCCAAGTGGCTCACACCAAACCCTCCGAGGCTCCCTTCGGCAAGGCTGTTGCCCCTCCCAGCCCGTCTGCTCCCCACCCCCCGCCACCACCTCCCCAGGAGAGTTTTGGGCTGGGCCCCTTGCCCAGGGCTTGGTTCACACGGGGTCCCCTTGCCTGCTCTGTGTAGGCCGAGCTTCGTCCTTAAGCCTAAATCCTATTTCTGCAGGCCAGCTCCTGACCCCACGCCCATTCCCCAGTAACCAGCCTGACCGACACGACGCGCTTGGTTCTCGGTGTCCCTCTAGCTACATGGGGCCAGCCTCGTCCCTCTAGACTGTGGGTCTGTCTTCCTCAGGACTATACCCCTAAAAGCCAGCCCAGGGCCTGCCACAGAGCACAGGCTCCACAAACACTGGTGGACTGAATGAGCCGTTCAAGCACTTTCCTTCTGTGATCTTCAACTGTTTCATCTCCACTAGCTCCCTAAGGGGTAGTCAGCACTTAGGCCCGTTATACAAGCCCAGAGTCAAGGTCACAGGCCAGTTAACAGAGCCCGCTCCTAATCCCTACTTGTCCAAAACAGTAAAAAGAGAGGGAGAGAGAAGGAGAGGGACGGAGGAGTTGGAGGGGGAGTGGGAGGGGAAGGCGGAGGGGGAGGGAGAGAGCATCAGAGACCAGGAGAGGCTTGGGTGCCAGCCCCGCCCCGGCAGCTACGTTCTATCTGGACGCAGAATGATCAGCACGCCTTATGCTGGAGAGAGTCCAGTCAGGGACCCACAGCACCCCCCTTCTCACGCCCTGCCCTTGAGATGGTCATGCATCAAAAAAGGGGGAAAAAAGTAAGAAAAGAACAGAAGGAAGGGACTGGGATCTTCACCACCACCACCATTTCAGGCTGGGGCCCCCAAACCCAAGGGAGCTTCCCTCCCCCACAAAGAAAGTAGGCTTTGCAAGTCGCCACCCTGGGGTCAAACCAACGCAGAAACGGACAGCGGTGAAGTCTCTGAGCCCCGATATTCTCCTCTGGGAACCACAACAACAGCAGGGCTGCACCCCGTAGGCTGCAGTGAGGCTTCTGTGAGACCAAGAGGTTAAGAGTCCAGCGGAGGGAACCGGGAGTCCCTGGCTCCTGAGGACCGTCCTTTGGGCCTTGAGTGGTCTTGCTGTCGGTGGCACACAGGGCTTGCTCCTTCTATTGGGAGCACCTTGAGGCTGGGGCTCCTGGGCTGGCACAAGCCGGGGCTGGGTGCTCAGCCAGCTGTGTGAACACCTGAGCGTTGGCTTGGGTCCACAGCCAGGAGAGCTGAGCAGGCGCTAGGAGCTCAGCTCCTGCCTGCACGCAGGCAGCGCAGGAGGAACGGGCAGGGGCAGGGCTGAGCGGAGGGATGTTAACTCCGGAGGAGGAGAGGAGAGGATGTGACAGGGCCGGGGTGGGGGGGTGGGGGGGTGGCACGATCCAGAGAAGAGGCTGTGCTGGGCGGCAGGAGGCTGGCCTGGGAGAGGGGACAGGATGCCTGCGGGGGAGGGCAGGGCTAGCCCGGCCCTTGGCCTGGGGCTGGGAACAGTGCGGCTGAGCTTGTCTCAACAGCACCTGCCTAGAATAGTACCTGACTCGCAGCTCGTACTCAGTAAATACTTATTAGGTGAACACACAAGAATGAGGTGTTTCTACCAGCTGCTTACCTGGGGTTTCTCTGCCTCTCTCGACCCCGGCGCCCCTCACAGCCATCTGCAGAATGCTGCCACAGGGAGCAAATTCCGACACAGGCACCTCCACCAGGAGCTGGCTGGTGCCCCCCCAGAAGTCACACACCAGCAGCCTGTGCCCAGGTCACAAGCCTTCTCTGTTTGGCCTGGGCTGTTTTGTTGTGTTCCATGTACAACTTGAATTAACTGCTAACGCTTAAAAATACAAGTGCCACCTAAGATGCCAGGTGCCCAGGTTCTCTGAAGACTCACGCCGGGTCTGCCCTGCCGCCTGCCTCCCAGGGCCTTGTCTTCCCTCACCAGCGTCTTCACTCCCTCACCTCCCACCCTGTCCCTGCAGATACTTGGGCTTGGGACCCCCGCCACAGACTACAGCCCAAATTCCTCAGCCAGCCCCAAGGCCTCGGTGACTTAACCTACAGGGTGAACGTCTCCACCTGGTTTGTCCCCAGTTGGTAAAATGGTGCCATCTGTGCCCGGGCACCATCTCAGGCTCTGGCCCCCATTGCCATCTTGCACAGTAAGCTTCTGTCCTAAGACCAGCCTGGCTTGCCAGTAGCCAGGTGACCAAATGGCCCAACCACAAACGTTGGCCAAACCACAAGCTCCACCCCTACCTACCCTAATAGGATTCATTGCTCTCACTTCCCTACCCCTGCAAAGCTATAATGGGACCTGCTTCCCACACGTGTGCCCCCTCGCTCGCTCTCTCTCCCTCTGGCCTGTCGGTTTCCCCCACCCAATCATAAACTTTCCTCTAACTCTGGCATCTGGTGTGTTTTGTGGTGGCCTTTCACCCGCTGTCCTTGTCCCCAAGTACTGGCCACACCACACTGCACCACGCTCTCCAGGCGCCTCTGCCCTGCCACACCCTTGCACAGGCTGGACCACAGCGCCTGGTGCCTGTCCCCAACGTGTGGCCCACACTGATGCTCACGTGGGCTTCCACAAAGGCTCAAGGCTCCTTTGGCGGTGGAGTTTCATCTCTGCTGCCGTGGCCAGCGGCCTCTGGCGGGACCTCCACAGCCAGGCAAGTGCAGGCTCCTGCATCTGCCCTGACCCACGGGGCTTTGGGGTTCAAGGGGCCTGTTTTCCTTTTAACTCTGGTACTGTTTCTCTGGGAAACCGGGCTTTCCCCAACTGGATTTACGCCCAGTTCCTGGCTCGGTGTGACATAAGACATAGAGAAGGTGCGAGAACGAGAGCAGGGTTTATTTAAAGGGATTAAGGCGGTACTCCGCACTCCCAAGCGACTGGGCAGCCTTCCTCCCAGCGGCCGCACCGGTAACTTCCGACTGTCTCTTTACCGGGTGGCCCCATAAAGCAGGTGGAGTCTGGGCGGGGCTTCAGTGTACTCGGTGATCTCTGGGAAGGTTTCATGGAGTTTCCATATTATGCGTGATGGACGAGCCGAGGCTGCCGCCATGTTGGAATGACCTGGAAGCATTGGGATTTTAGCAGGAGGGACTTGTGCGGAAGGGAATGGTAGCAGTCTCAACTCCCTGCCTAGCCCATATCAGTGCCTGCACAGGGTCTTCTAGGCCCACTCAGCATTTTCCTTGAAGGAATAACTAAATAGAAGCCCTTGATTTCATGAATGGCCAGAGATAAAAAAAAAATCCCCTAACAGGCCCAGATACTTGTAGGAGTCTTGGTTTTAGGTTTTATGACCCTATTAAGGGCTGCATTTCTTCACATCTATGTCAACATGCATACACACATACACACACGTGTTCAGTGTGTGCCCCCCCCACACACACGGCAGATGCTGCTCCAATCAGGCCCCTCTAGAAAAATGAGCAAATGGGACAAGTGTGGTAGTGGGATTCCATCTCACTACCACACACACACACATACACACACAGGATTGATGTCACCCTGCAGACAGGCACACACGTCCTCCAGGGACTACCTCCGAGCACCTCCTTCGATGCACCCAATCAGACACCTCCGTCTCATTCCAGACCTTTCCAGATCCTTCTCCCACCAAAACAGCCGTGTCCTCCGTTCCTGGCCTAAGTTTACTCCTTGGACCCAGGCCACTAAATCCGTTATGGAGCCAGAGAGCCCCAGGCAGAGCAAGTGGCAGAGACTGACTGTCAAACGTCACAGATGAGAACCAATCAGCCTCAGCTCAGGTGGGCGGAGGGGCGGGAGTGGGAGCAGAGGGTCTGAGCCATTGGACTCCACACCTGCCAGGCCTCAGGCCTCGCAGCAGCCCCTGGGCTGGGTGCGGCCAGGCCCCCACTCACAGATGCGGAAGCGGCCCGCAGCTCAGCAGCCGTGAGCCTGCACTCCAAAGCCACGGTCTTCCATGCCATGTCCCAGATGTCAGGACAGAGGTCCCCTGAATCTGGCTGATGGGGACCAGGATGGAGGAAATGGGAGCTTGTTGCCATGGAGTCACACTGTGCATGGCCACATCATTCAAATTCATTGTCCAGATACAGTTGGCTGTGAAGCCAGACTGTCCTCCTGCAGAACAAAGTCAACGCTTGGATGAAGGGCCAGTTCTTACTCTCTCCCTGCTCAGAGGCTGCATCCGGGCCCCAGGCCAGGCTAACAACGTCAGTGAGATAACACGGGGCAGTGAAAGCAAGAGTCGGGCAGTGTCTTTATGTCTGCAGCTTCCTGGCCCTATTTTAGAGAAATAGCTCAGGCACAGCAGGGTCGGTCACTGGCCACCCAGACACACTTCCAGGGGACAGGCCCTGGTCTGCCTGCCTTGGGGCCTTGCACTGGCTATGTCGCCTCTCAGCCTCAGTGCCATGCAACTGGACAGAAGATCCGTTTCCTTTAGAACAAGAATGCAGTGGACAAGATTAAGCCCTTAGGCCCACGAAGCCAGCCCAAGAGGCTGCAGGGCACTGATGGGAAGAGGTTAGGGCATTTTTCTCCCCGCTAGAGCCCCAGGCCAGGGAGGGGCATCCTGGGGTCAGCAGAGGTCCCAGCCCTCTGTCTCCCGCTGCCAATGTCATTAATCATCTTCCCTGCCAGTCCTCCAGGAATGTGGCAGCCTCTTCAAAGTCATCCTTGGGTTTAAAAAGCAAACCAACCTGGAAACTTCTCGGTCAGCCGCGATGCTGCAGGCAGGTTAGGAGTCAGGGGCCAGCTCCTGGCCTCGCTGCCTTGCCCCTCCACCCTGGCGTCCCCACACCCAACGTAGGAGGGGACAGTGTCATGCCAGTGAATACACCTTTAGATTGGAGGGTGGGTGCCCAGAAGCCTGAACCGCCCCCCCTGCCCAAAGCAGTCCCACCTCAGCCACCCCTGCTCCTTGGCACACGCAGGCTGGGGTTCATCGTCCAGAACCCACTCCCCAGTTGGGAGCCCTGCAAGCCAACTCACAACCTGCCTGGGACCTACACCCGTGCTCAGGGAGCATTTCCTCAAGGATGCAGGCGGCTGGAAGGACGGGCAAGAGAGGCCAGGGCCAGCGGGGAGCCTCTCCCTGTCCCCCATCGGCCGCCGTCCTCCTCAGCACCAATGGTGTCCCACCGTGCCTGGCCTGGGGACCTTCTGCTAAAGGGACGAGGGCCCCATGCCCTAAGTGCCTATAAACAAAGGGAAAATATGCAAACACTCAGCCCACTCAGCAGCACGGGGCGTCTGCAGCTGCACAGAGGGGTGCACAGGTGCAGACCACACTGCTGGCTCCAGGGGTAGGGCTGGCAGAATGCGCACTAGCTAGAGGGGGTAGGTCTAGGGCTGGGCCTCCACTCGAGGGCCCATCGTCCATGAAGGCATCTCAGAGAGCCAGTGGGTGTACTATGTTTAGCCATGGTGAGGTTTCTGGGATTAGCAAGACTTCGAAGGCTTTGGTGTTGGCTGGAATTTCATCAACTTGGTGCAGAAACACTGGCTATCTTGTGCAGATAAACAATCTGTGGGTTAAGTACACATGGATCAGACAAGAAAACAGAGACCGAAGTTGCAACTTCACAACTTCTGTTGCACAAAATCTTTCCAAACATGGAATTTGTGGTGAGGGCAATGATAACACAAACCTTAGCATCTTATCTCCTTAATATCTAACGCCTACAAATTAAAGAGAAAAATATTAGTCATGCCTCACTCATCCACAAAAACAAAACAAAACAAAACAAAACAAAAAAAATGAAGGCTGACAACATGGGGTTAACAAAAAGAGGAGAAAAAGAAGTTGACACAGCCAACGGATCCAGTAGTCCCTCCTTATCTGCGGTTTCGCTTTCCATAGTTTCAGTTGCCAGTGGTCAACCACAGTCCAAAAATATTAAATGGAAAATTCCAGAAATAAACAATCCATCAGGTTTGAGTTGTGTGGTGTGCTGAACAGCGTGATGAAACCCCATAGTGCTCACTGTGTCCCGTGTGGGTCCAGCGGGTCCACGCTGTATGTGCTACCCCACAGGCAGTCACGCAACATCCGGCTTAGTTGCCAGGTTGATGGGCAGGCAGCACAGCGCTCAGTGTTCAAGGAACCCTTATCTCACTTAATAACGGCCCCGGAGCACAGAGGAGTGATGCTGCCGATTGGGAAATGCAAATCACAAAATGCTTCATTTTAAGTGAAAAGTGGAAGTTCTTGACTTCAGGAAAGAAACTGGCATCCCCTGGGGGTCTTGGACTGCATCCCCTGAGGACAAGGGGCAATGCTGTGTGATATTTATCCTCCTTTTTAAAGGTATCTAAAATGTTTAATGAGATACAATTTTGTACTTATTAAATTAGCGGGGGGGCCAGCACCGTGGTTCACTTGGTTAATCCACCGCCTGCGGCGCCGGCATCCCATATGGGTGCCAATTCTAGTCCCGGTTGCTCCTCTTCCAGTCAGCTCTCTGCTGTGGCCTGGGAGGGCAGTGGAGGATGGCCCAGGTGCTTGGGCCCCTGCACTTGCATGGGAGACTAGGAAGAAGCACCTGTCTCCTGGCTTTGGATCGGCGCAGCGCTGGCCATAGCGGCCATTTGGGGAGTGAACCAACGAAAGGAAGACCTTTCTCTCTGTCTCTCTCTCTCTCTCTCTCACTGTCTATGACTCTACCTGTTAAATAAAAAAAAAATTAAAAAAGGAAAGATTAGCAAAGATTTAGAAGGTTGATGATACCCATGTTGGTAAAAGTATAAGGAGACAGGGATTATCATACACTATTTTTTTTAAGAATTATTTTATTTATTTGAAAGAGTTACAGAGAGAGGTAGAGCTAGAGAGAGAGAGAGAGATCTTCCATTCCATTGGTTCACTCCCCAAATGACTACAATGGCCAGAGCTGAGCTGATCCGAAGCCAGGAGCCAGGAGCTTCTTCCGGGTCTCCCATGTGGGTGCAAGGGCCCAAGGACTTAGGCCATCCTTTACTGCTATCCCAGGCCATAGCAGAGAGCTGGATCGGAAAAAGAGCAGCCGGGACTCAAACTGGTGCCCATATGGGATGCCGGCGCTGCAGGCCAGGGCTTTAACCCACTGTGCCACAGTGCCGGCCTCTATCATACACTATTGACGCAACTAGATTGCTAGTGTTTTTGGAAGCTTACGTAGGAAAATATATTCAGATTTTAAGCAGAGATATTAATCAGCTACAGACACAGCTGTTGATTCAGCACTGTCTGCCTGGGCACGCACTGTCAGGAGGGGCCGTGGTTGTGGCACAACACAGCACATGGAGCCACCGTACGCAACACCCCGGCATACCTTATGCAGTGCTCATTTGAGTCCCGATGGTCCACTTCCCATCCAGCTCCCTACCAACGCGCCTGGGAAAGCAGTGGAAGATGGCCCAAGTGCTTGGGCCCCTGCACCCACTTAGGAGACCTGGATGAAGCTCCTGGCTCCTGGCTTGACCTGGCTCAGCCTTGGCCTTTACAACCATTCAGGGAGTGACCCAGTTGATGGAATCAATCTCTCTCTCCTTCCCTGCCCCCCCTTCTTCCCTCCCTCCCTCTCTCTGTCACTCTGCCTTTCAAATAAATAAATCATTAGGGGAAAAATACCTGAAGAACCTAAATGTCCATGAGCAAAGAAGCTGGTCCCGCGCACACGCCAATATTTCCGCAGTCATCACCAAGAATGGGCACACCTAGAGAAACCACATGAGGGAGATGCCCAAGGTCCGCCACCGAGTGAAACAAAGCAAGCTGCAAAAGCAAATGGCTGGGGCCGGCGCTGTGGTGCAGCGGGTTAAAGCCCTGGCCTGCAGCGCCGGTATCCCATATGGACATTGGTTCGTGCCCCGGCTGCTCCTCTTCTGATCCAGCTCTCTGCCGTGGCCTGGGAAAGCAGTATAACATGGTCCAAGTCCTTGGGCCCCTGTACCCATGTGGGAGACCCAGAGGAAGCTCCTGGCTCCTGGCTTTGAATCAGCCCAGCTTTGGCCATTGTGGCCATTTGGGGAGTGAACCAGCAGATGGAAGATCTCTCTCTGCCTCTCTGGCTCTGCCTCTCTGTAACTCTGCCTTTCCAATAAATAAATAAGAAATATTTTTAAAAACCCAAATAAATAAAAATTTTAAAAATACATCTTACAGCCAGTGTTTCCATGTAATAAATGGTCACTAACTGCATGGACAGCTGTCTTTGGTATGGGCTGGCGGAAGGGGAGGGGATTGGTTCAGGCCCCCTGTGGATAACGGAATCTGTGGATGCTTACTTTTTTTTTTTACAGAAAGGCACAGTATTCGCATGGAACCCATGCATAACCTCCCCATGCTTGAATCACCTCTAGATTACTTAAAAGACCAGTGTTGTAGCATAGAGGGTAAAGCCGCCAGCCGCAGTGCCAGCATCCCATATGGGTGCCAGTTCAAGTCCCGGCTGCTCCATTTCTGATCCAGCTCCCTGCTAGTGTGCCTGGGAAAGTAGCGGAAGATGGCCCAAGTCCTTGGGTCCCTGCACCTATGTGAGAGACCCAGAGGAAGCTTCTGGCTCCTGGCTTGGGACTGGCCCAGCCCCAGCCATTGCAGCCATCTGAATCAGCAGATGAAAGATTTCTCTCTCTCTCTCTCTCTCTCTGTGTGTGTGTGTGTGTGTGTCCTCTCTGTAACTCTTTCAAATAAGTAAATAAATCTTAAAAAAAAAAAAAAAAAGACCCGATACTCCTGTGAGTGACTGCTAGGCAAACAGCGGTTACACGGTGTTGTCTAGGGAACAATGGTGAGAGAAGGCCTCACTGCCCTGGTTGAGTCGGGGCACACGGAGCCTGTGGATATGGAGGAACTGTAGCTGTTGGCCAGCTGTGCCTCAGTGCCTTTGCACGTGCCAGTTCCTCTGCTGAGGAGACCCCTCCTGCTCCTCCTGGTAAAGTGCACCCTGTGTTCCAGGCCCTCCCCCCAGGGCCACCTCCTTGGTCAAGACCCCCAAGGCCCCCAGGGAGCAGCAGCGCTCACCCCTTCTGGACGCTGCCACGGCACCAAGTTCTCAGCCCCTTCCAGTCCTGGGCAGCTTTGTCAGGTGCTGTGGAAACCCTACCCCTGTCGTGTACAAGCAGGGCCCAGCCTCGTGTCTGGCCCCCCTAACCCCAGCTGCCCTTGCCTGTCCTTACCAAAAGGAACTCAGTGACTCACAGCTGTGATGCAGCTGGCCTGCACACTTCTAACCCCCGGAAGTCACCTGCTCCTCCAACAGATAAGAACCTTGATGGCTGGCGCTGTCCCAGGGTGCTTTGTGTAGGGGAACTCCAGGGCCAGGCAGAGGGCGGCTGCCACCTGCACACAACCCCAGACCAGCTGGAGCCCACCTGGCCCCATAACTTCCCTAAGGAGCACAGCATCGCTGACCAACCAAAGGAGGGTCACGGGCACCACTGACCAACCAGGAACCTGGACACGAGCTGATCACGCACCTCTCAATGTCAGTCTCTAAGGACCTTCACCCCTAACTCCTCAGGGAACCCGGAAATTAAGCAATGGCTGCCCAGCCCCTTGCTCTGAATAAACACCTGCTTTCTTCCCCGACCTGACGTCAGTGATGAGCTTTCTGGGCATGGGGCGAGTGGACCACTTTGGGGGTTCCACAGCGACGACTCCGTCCAGTTTGGGATGTTGTTCTGCAGCAGTTGGCTCTGCGGACTGGTGGCCCCCACAGCTGCCCTGACGCCCCTCCCCACTCCCAGAAGGGCCACCCCACACCCCCAGGCCTCTTCCCAGGACTCTGACCAGGGAGCAGGATGGTCTTGGGCTGTGATTCGGTCCTGCCCCCTGCTGGTCACTGTGAAGAACGGCCCCTTAACAGGTGGCACACAAGAAGAAGCAGTCAGGGGCAGTGGGGTGGCTCCCGGAGACAGCCCCGCCCCAGAACTGTGTCCCATGGGTCTCACCAATCCATGGTACTAGTTCAAGTCCAAGTCCCTTGCCCTGGCAAAGTCCTCCAGAACCCAGTTCTGGTGGTTCTTTTCCAACAAATTTCCTGTTGCGTCCTGGCAAAACCCCAGTCCCAGGTGGAACAGCTGCTCTTTGTCCTGGGATCACCCTCGCCTGTGTGGCCTGACCTCCGGCCCCTACACCTGTGATCCCTCCCTCAGGCAGGCCCTCGCCTCTTCCCTCTCTTTTAGCCCCAGTCCTAGAGTCGGCCCAGCCCTGGGCGTCCTCCCCCTGCCGGAATCGTTCCCCAATACCCGTTGGCCAGAGCTCGGTCGTGGCATGGCTCATGCCTACCCCAGCCTCATCTGCAACCTGAACAAATCCAAACTCAGTGTTTCTGCAGAGGGCACTGTATGCAGTCGGTGCATGATCAGTGCTGGGCGGCAATGATTTCCACTCCTCCCACCGGCCCTGGCGTAGCCCCGTTGGGGAGATTGTTGGGGTGCCTTGAGGAAGGAGATGGATGGTCTCGGGAGGTCTCAGGACATGCAGCCGGGCGTAGGAGACATTGTGCTTAGGAGGCACCACCCCCTTGGAGCAGGTTTCCAAGTCACTCTTTCCTCTCCCAGCCACTTCTCTCTGCAGCTTCATTTCTTCATTCGTTCATACACTCTGTGATCACTTATCATCCAGGGGAAGAGAAATGTGAGATGCTCGCCATTATCTTAACACTGAGGTGTTGGGCACAGATGCAGAAGAGGCGTGCTCTTGGAGCACGGTGTCTGAACCAGGCAAGGGGCGAGGGGAACCCAGAGGGCCAACCTGGAGGAGGGGACATTTGAATAAAGATGCAAAGGAGAGATAGGTGTTGGCCAGGCAAAGACAGGCAGGGAGGCAGAGGAGCTGTCAGGTGCCCAGAGGGGAGGCGGCCTCACACACCTGCTTCTGGTCGGCTCACAGGCCAGGTTTGGGGTGGGAAAGTTGTGAGCTGGCAAGGGGGCAGAGGAAGGTCTCATGGGCCATGCGCCAAACAAAGGCGTTTGGTTACTTCTTGGTTTTTAAAAAATGTATTTGAAAGTCAGAGAGACAGAGAGCTCTCAGCAGTGAGGACTAGATCAGCCTGAAGCCAGGATTCCTGAACTCAGTTCAGTCTCCCACATAGGAGGCAGGAACCCAAGTACTGAGCCACCAGCAGCTGCCTCCCCGGGTGCGCGTTAGCAGCTGCATGGAATCAGGAGTGGAGCTGGGACTCCAGTCCAGGTGCTCCTGTGTGCGATGTGGGGGTCCCAGGCAGCGGCTTAATGCTGCACCCAACGCCCAGCCCCTCCCTGACAATGGAGGGTTTGCACACAGGGGAGAGGCAAGCGTAGGTCTGAATTTTAGGAAGTTCCATTGGGCAGAGAAGGGAGAAGACGAGAAGGGAGAACCTCCTGAGGGGAGGGTGGGGTGGAGTGGGAGCCGGAGGTAGGGCAGAGGCACCTGCACCCAGGAGGTAGGGCAGAGGCGCCTGCACCCAGGAGGTAGGGCAGAGGCGCCTGCACCCAGGCACTGACACCTGGGGAGGAACCCCAGAGCAGATCCTGGAGACAGAAGGCAAGACAGGAGCCGGTGCTATGGCACAGTGGGTAAAGCAGCCGCCTGCAATGCTGGCGTCTCGTAGAGCAACAGTTCCAGTCCTGGCCGCTCCACTTCCGATCCAGCACCCTGCTGTTGCGCCGGGAAAGCAGCAGAAGACCGCCCAAGTCCTTGGGCCCCTGCACTCACGTGGGAGACCCACGGATGGAGCTCTTGGCTCCTGGCTTCGGATCGGCCCAGCCCTGACTGTTGTGGACATTTGGGGGAGTGAACCAACGGATGGAAGATCTCTGTCTGTATCTCCCCCTCTCTCTCTAACTCTGCCTTTTAAATAAATACATAAATTTTTTTTGTAAAAAAGAGAAAAACATAGGATTTGGTGCTTGCCTCTGGGAGTCAGCAGTGAACCCCAAAGAGGGAACAGGAGCCCGCGCGGGGTGGGGGTGGGGGTGGCCGTGGCTGTGGCAGTAATGAGAGGGACCTCATGGGAACACGTGAGCTTGAATTTTGGTGCGACCTTGGTCAGAGGCGACCAAGAGGTGACGGCGCACAACGCTGGGTGCTGGGACGAGCGGGCCGCAGCAGAATGGCGGCCGAGGCGCGGGGGAAGGCCCCGGCGCCAGGGGCCGTGGCCTCGGATGCGGGCTCCCCTAGACGGGAGGCCATTTCCTCCCAGCTCCTGCCCTCGGATGTCCCGGCCTCACTCAAAGGAACAGCGCTAACACCCGTCAAACACACCCTGGCGGGCAGCAGGTGATGACTGGCACAGAAGCTCCGGGAAGCGAGAGCTGCAACCATGAGCGGGCAGACGCGTTGAAGCCGCAAAGCTTCCGGAGCTTCCCGCGTCTGCCCGTGCTCCTCACGGGAAGCCCCTTTGGGGCTCTCTGCACACCGATGCTGTACCAGCCGGCTGAGCAAAGCCACAAGAGCGTGGTGTCCCTGCGGCTTCCCTGAGTGGCACACGCCGGGAGAGCCCAGGACTCTGCGCCTCTCTCGTTCCCGGCCACAGCTCCACGGAGCCCCCGGCCTCACTCTCAGGACCGGCCCTGGAACCGCACCTGATGAGAGTGGGAGGGAGGCACCGCAGCGGCCTTAGCCTCTGTCCTGAGCCCGTGGCTTGGCAGGCCCAAGGGAGCGAGCTGGGAGGGACCGAAGGGGGCTTGGCAGCTATTAGAAATGAACTATGCAGCTTCCTCTCCGCGGGGGCTCACCGGCCCAGAGGCCACCCAGGAAGACGTCAAAGAGGACAGCAAGGAAGACATGCCTCATCTGTAGAGCACCAGCCTGGGCCCAGTCACTTCTGCGGTTCTCCCTGCCCATTCTTGCAATTCCACCTTGGCCACCCGTCTCTGGTCTGCGATTCACCAGATGTCCACCAGAGGGAGCGCGCACCTCTTCGCAGACGGTCTGGGGGCCGTGCTCCTGGGGGGCTGGCCAAGGTCAGGGACTCTTGCTCCGCGAAGGGCATGTGGCTTGCTGAGTGCACTGCGCAGCCGAGGCACGCATTCAGCCGTGGCTGGCACCATGTCACGGAGGAGGAAGTCGAGGTTCTGAGAATTTAATTCAAGCCTGGAGGTTCTGGGCGGCACTGGAGAGCTCGATGTTCTATGGAAATGGCTGAAGGCCTTGGCTTTGAAGAGAGCAAGTGGGTGGACGTCTCAGGGGTACAGGCCTGAGCCTGGCGGGGGCAAGAATGTCCTAGAGGTCAGAGCTATCCAGGTAGGTTGGGGACTGCCCAGGATGGCTGCGAGCAGCACCCTGGGAGTCAGGAAATACAGGGTAGTGGGTCTCCCTGGAGCCCCTCCAGCACAGGGCACACATGCAGAGAGGAGAGAAGCTCCAGGCTCAGTCACTGGGGCTTGCCTCTGTCAGGGACTCACAGCCACCAACCGGACAGTGGGAGGGGTCTGGTACTTCCTCTACTGGTTTCTGGATCTCAAATGCAGGCCAGGGGCTGCCCCATCCCTGGTCCACAGCTGCCCACCCCCACTGAGGGCTTGTTTTGGTGTCCTGGGCTGATCTCTCGGAGTGGGCTTTGTGGTGGCCTGGGCTCTGTGCCTTGTTCACAAAGCTGGGTCGTCCCCACTGTCATGGGGAGAGCAGCTGAACCACACTGGCCAGCATCATTCTGGGAGCCCCCCAAGGCTGGCTGACCTTGCCTCTAGATGGGTGACTATTTTGCACCCAGAAGCCAGGAGCCAGGAGCTTCTTCTGAGTCTCCCATGCAGGTGTAGGACTTGGGTCATCTTACATTGCTTTCCCAGGCCATAGCAGAGAGCTGGATGGGAAGTGGAGCGGCCAGGACTCGAGCCGGTGCCCATATGGGATGCTGGCACTTCAGGCGCCGGCTTTACCCACTACGCCATGGCACTGGCCCCTGAACTTATCTTTCAATTCCATTTTCCACGAACCTTTGGCAGTGCCCTCATAGGCACTGCGCTCCTCCCCTGCTCCAGACGTGGGGCCTGGGTCGTCCCCTGTGAACCTTGCACAGCGGCGGCCCTTTGACAAGTGATGAGGCTGAAGCTTGGGGGTCTGAGGTCCCAAGGCCACATGGCAAAGTTCCACAGCTGAGGTCTCCCCGAAGGTTCCCACCTGAGCCCCTTCCTCTGCACTTTGTGCAGCGGCCCCTGGCGGCCTGGTGAGGTAGTGAGCTCCTGGTCACTGAGGTTCCGACAGCAGGGGGCGCTGCAGAGGAGGAATCATGCTTTGTGTAGAGATGGGCATACATGTGGGGTGTGCGACCCAGCAGCCAGGAGAGGCTCCTTGACCGCTTTGTGTTGGCATGCATGAGCTTGTGTGTGCGTACACACACACAGGTGCACCCGGCAGGCACGCACACATGTGCAGGTACCCACACATGCAGGCATGCAAGCAGACTTGTGCACACACGCGCGCGCACACACACACACACGTGCAGGCAGGCACCCAGGCAGACATGCGCACAATGTGCAGACACAGACATGCACACACACACACACCTCCCTGAAGCTGGGAAGCCTGCTTCTCACAAGGCCACCCAGGGCGAGGGCTGGCCCAGGCCCAAGGCCCAGGTGGCTTCAGCGGGGAGCTCTGATCTCAGACACTGATCTCACCCTTTGATCACCAGCCCTGGGCAGGCCGGATTCCCAGGGCTGCAGGAGGAGTCACTTCCTGGAAGGCTTTAGCCTGGCTTTGTTGCTTTCAAGATTGCCATTTCTTTTGTGTGGGGTGGGAGTGGAGGTGCATTACCAGCAAACGTAACCAGTTCTTTGCAGAACAGCTGAAAAACACAAAAAGGCAGAGAAAGAGAGGAAAGCCACAGAGGAGCCCGGCTCTCCCTGCTCCCGCACCTGCAGATATGTGGTCCCTGCCAGTGCCTCTTCCTCCAGCCAGGCTGCTTAGGTTCAACCCCATCCCTGCCTTTCTGAGCTGTGGGACCTGAGACAAGTTGCTGAACCTCTCTGTACTGCTTTGGGGCTCAGTGTCTTGTGATGATTTCCGCCTAGGTTCTCCTGATTACAACTTCCCGATAAAACTGAGTATTCCCTCTCTGTGGCGACCCCCGGTGTTTAGGTTCACTCACGGTCAGGTTTTCTGTTTGGACTCACACCCTTGCAGGTTTGCTGGTGTTTTTCCGTTTGTGTGATGTCAGTTTCCATGTTCGTTTGACTGTGTATTTTACCAAAGGAGCATCTGCCGTTTTGTGCCCTGCCTTTTCCATTGAATGGGTGAACTTTCCCCGACTTTGCCGGCTATTCTTCTGTCCGTGGATTTGAATGGCTGCATTGTGTGGCCACTAGAACAGTTGGTGGCGGGGGAGTGCATGGCAGGGGCAGAGTGTGTGAAGCAGGGGGCTGAGGTGGTCGAGGTCCCCCTCCCTCCAGGCCCACAGTGGTCAGCCAGGCCAGGCCCAGGGCAAAGCTGCCAGCCGGCTGCCTCAGTGCCACCAGCTCCCGGGCGGGCAGCCGGGCACTGGCTGGGGATGGCACCCCTGCTCCCGCTCTCTCCCCGCCCACCCCACACACCCACGCTGGGCCAGCCCCCTCCTGAGGTCACGGGGGGCCACTCCTCTGCGAGACGACCTGGTTCGCGCCCAGCCTGGTTTTCCCGAGAAGCCTGCTCCGAATCACAGCCAAGGTCAGGGTTCTCTCTGGTGAGGGCTTCCCTCCAGGGCCGGCCGGGAAGGGGCTGGGGGCATCCAGGGTGGGACGCACAGCTGCGAGGAGAAGGAAGGAGGGGAGGCTTGTGAGGACTCACTCAGGGGCTCCGAGGCCGTGGAGGTGCGGAAGCCCTTTGCAGACCCGGGGCCCGAGGAAACTTGGGTTGATGACTGGGGTCACTGGGCGAACAGGGAAGAACCAGATCTGTGAGCAGAGCCCAGCGGCTCAGGGGCGCTGATCTTCACACAACAGAGAATCCAGGCGGGGCCAGCGTTGCCGGCACTGCATCCCATATGGACGCCAGTTCGAGTCCTGGCTGCTCCATTCCTCTGCTATGGCCTGGGAAAGCAGCAGAAGATGGCCCAAGTCCTTGGGCCCCTGCACCCATATGGGAGACCCAGAGGAAGTTCCTGGCTCCTGGCCTCAGGTCGACACAGCTCCGGCTGTTGCAGCCATCTGGGAAGTGAACCAGTGGGTGGAAGACTCTCTCTCTCTCTCTCTCCCTCCCCCACCCCGCCTCTGCCTCTGCCTCTGCCTCTGCCTCTCTGTAACTCTGCCTTTCAAATAAATAAATTAATCTTTAAAAGAGAAAAACAAGAATCCAGGCGTGAGGCACAGAGCAGCGCCAAGTGAGGCAGCAAAGTTTGATGCAGAGAAGCAAGGAGGAGGGCGGGCGTCTCAGCAAGGGCTGAGCGCACCATCTGCTCTCAGACTGGAGTTGTCATGGACATGAGTGTGGGCCCCCATGTCTCCTCCCCTCCTCCCTCTTTGGGAAAGTGTGGGTAGGGGATTTCTGGATGCAGAGTTCCTGAAAATCCTTCCGGGATCTTATCAGCACAGTGTTATCGGACTGGACCTAATGGGCTCCTTGGCGCGGGGTGGGGGGGATTCCCCTGGGCTGCCCCCGGGGGTGGGGGATGAAACCCATCCAGCGCAGTCAGAGGACAGGAGCCATTACTGCAGGTGCCATCGCTCTCATGGCTTGTTTCCTCGTTCCATTGTACAAAAACTCCTTTTCTCTAAAACTTCTCATTTTCCTCCGCCCCTCTTACACACATTGGCTAGCATCTACCTAACCGCCTTAACGGCTCAGTGCTGGCTTTGGGTTGGGGCTCTGGCTTGGGTTAGGAGACTGAAGGATGAGGGTGAGCCAGGAAAATGGGGTGGGGTGGGTCTGAGCACCCCCTCCCAATCTCCCAACCCTCCACAGTGTAGCGGGGAATGTGGGTTCAGGTTGAGCGGGTGGCGTGGGCAAGCAGGACCACTGGCGAGAATCTGAACCTGTTCACTGCTTGAGCTTGCTTTTTTCAGGGGGCGTTCCAAAAAAATGTAACTTGCAGCACTGCACTCAGAGGGGGCCAAGCCCCTGGGCACAGTCCATGCAGGGAGCCGGCTGAGCCCCTGAGTGTCTGGAGCTGTATGGGGCTGGAGCAGGGAGTAGGGAGCTGGGAGGGCCCTTCCCTCTCCCACTCTCCCTCCCTCCCCATGCCCCCCCCCCCCAGCCTCCACATCCTGCACACATCCCCATGCCTGGCTGTAGCTGACCTGCAGGGACCTGGCTTCTGTAGGGGCCTTCTCTTCCCACCGTCCCCTGTGCCTGTCTCAAGTACATAAAGCTTCCCCCATGCACTTCGCTTGAGGCTGGTTATCTGAAATGGGGCTCAGCCTCCTGGCTGGAAACCCGAGCCTGAGACACCTGTGACACCGTCTGCCCTTGAGTCACTGCCCCACAGCGCCCTCTCGGCCTGCTGGGGAGGGAGAGGGGAGAGGAGGTGGGAGCAGCACGCCAGCGGCACACCCAGGGACCCCACCCCACCACGGCCTGACTCCTCCTGCCCTCCGGAGGGGCCAGCCCCCTCTCCAGCCTGGCTGTCACATCCAGGGCTGCCAAGTCTCCAACGCTAAACACATCACAGAGTCCCTGCACCTCGCCCCCAGGCCTACCTCCCATTCCCAGTTCCCGGCAAAGCCCCTGCCGCCATGACCCACCACCGTCTACAGCTCCTCCCCTGCTGTATCTGGTCGGGGCCAGCCCCAGTGTTCCTGGGTGCTTCCTTAATGCTGCCCGCGCCCTCTGTGTCAACATACACAGATGCTGTCCTCTTGGTGGCGGCGGCAGGCACAGGTGTCTCCCCGCCACACACACACACACACACACACACACGCACACACACACACACACACACACACGCCTCCTTCCGGGGCCTCGGAGCTCACCGCAGCCTCCCCCGCCCCCCACCCCGCCCAGGCCCTGGGCTCAGGCCTGAGGTCACTGTGTCTGCTGCCATCTCCAGGTGGCCTCATCCAGCCCCAGGCCTCTAAATGCTGCTTGCGTTTGTTCTTTGTTCGTTGGTGCACCTGCCAGGGAGCTACCATTTCCCCGCAAGGTGAAGGTCCCCCGGGTGCACTCCTGTACCTCAGGGTTCCAAAGGCTGCCGGTGGTCGCCCACTCCGCAGAGCTCCCGTTCTAACCGGCTGCTGCCTTCCTCAGGCTGCTGCTCAGAGGCCCAACGAACCTCTCAGACCCAAGCCCTCCAGAATATTCCTCCCCACTGTCCAGAGCTTTCCCTCTCCCAGCCTTCCCCATCTCACAGGGGTCACCAAAACCCACCAGCTGTCGAAGCTACATCCCTGAGCCCTCCTGAAGTCTTCCTGCCCCTCCGGCCACCCCCATCCTACTCCACGGCGTGTTCCCTCCCTGCCACCTGCACCATAAGTCTCCGCCCTCACTGCCCTCCGGCGTCCAGCCACTGTGGTCCTCCCTGGTCACCACCACGGCTGCTCACTGATTTGCATGGGTCCGCCCCGAGTCCCCTACAGCCCATTCTCCCCAGGGAGCTGTGTCTGAGTGAGCCATGCCTCTGCGCAAAACCCTCAGTGCCTTCCAGCTGCCCATGGAACACAAGCCAGGGCCCTAGCCATGGTCTGCAGGGCCCTCCCCTCCCCCACTCACTGCAGCCCAGCCACCTGGCTCCCCTCCTGGCTGCAAGACCCTTGCCTTGCCTGTCCCCTCTCCTGGGCCCCCTCCCAGCCCTCTGCCCCAGCCCCAAGCTCACTCCGCTCACGCAGCCCAGGCACTCTCCCATCCGCACCACCCTCTCTGTCACTCATCAGAGTTCTGATGATCTCAGACATGGAGCTCACCTGTCGTGTTTCTCCCTTCCTCGCTGTAGAAGCCACCTGCCCCTGAGCCGGCACTGGGGTGGCAGTGGACAGGAGGCCGCAGCCCCAGGCCACGGCCACTGTAACTCCATGTCAGATGGAGGTTGTGCCTCACCCGTGCAGTCCGGCAGCCAAGAGGCACTGGCTGCGTCCAGTTCCGTGAGCCTGAGATAGCATCGACTCCCTGGGGGCCCGCCAGCCCCCAACAAACAGGCCTCTCTTCCTGGCCCCCGGAGCCCGCTATCTCCAGAGCCCACCACCGTTTCCTGACTCTCACCAGGGCCCGTTCTGGAGCTTCAAGAAACCCAGCCCTGCTTCCTGGGCCAGACCCCTCAGCCCCAAACCTGCACCCCAGCCTCTGCCCTATACTCCCCACCCCAGAGCCCCGACTTCTTCCTGGGAGAACCAGTCAGTGACCGGGCCCTCCAGGAAGGGAGCACACCCAGCAACCTCCTTGTCACAACCAAGCCGTGACTCCACTCATGGGCAGCTGTCAGGACACACATATCCTCTGTCACCTGCTCCCTCGGCACCCCAACCCCCCCCCACGCATGCGCAGACAGAGGTCCCGCTCTAGCCGCACCCACCTGCTTGCTCATCTTGCTATTTTACCCCTCCGTCCAGCACTGCCGCTCCCCACTGCCCGGCAGCATCCCCTCCCCTGCCCCTTGATCTCTTGGCTGGACCTTACCTGCCTTTCAAAGCCTGGCCCAGCATTCCCTCCTCTGGGAAGTCCTTCCGGATGCCCCCAGGCAGAAAACGGTTGTTAGCGCCCGGAATGCTACAGTGTGTTCATTTGTGAACAAGACCTTCTCCCTCCTAGACCCACAAACCCACGTGGCTCCTCGGGGACCCCACGGGGATGGGGACATGCCCCTCAATGTGACGCACGCGGTAATGCAGGAGTGGCTGTGCCAGGTATCCAGGAGCCGAGGGCCAGGCCCACCAGCCCCGGGCAGGACAAGGCTTTCGGAGGAGGCAGGGTTTTCGCAGGTCCGGTGGGCACTGCAGGAAGGGAAAGGAGCCACAAGCCAGGGACCTGGGAATTTTGAGTCATTCTCCAGGCTGAGTGTAAAGTACAGGGCCAGGGAGTGGGCAGATAAGAGATTAGGAGGCAGCCGCCCGGAGCTCAGGGAGGGCCTCACCAGTCACTGAAAGAGCAGCAGGAGGTGGTGATGGCTTTGGGGCAGAGGAGAGGAGGATCAAATGTCCATCAGGAGGAAGGAGTTTGGCAGAGGTTAAGATACTATTTAGAGGGGGCCGGTGCTGTGGCATAGCAGGTAAAACTGCCGCCTGCAGTGCCGGCATCCCATACGGGCGCTGGTTCTGAAGTAGCACCTTGACAGTAGGGACTCCATTTTGGAGCACTTGAGACTCCATTCTGGGAAAGCACCCCACCCCCACCGTGAGACTCTGGTCTGAAACTCTGATCTCAAATAGTCGGACAATAGCAGTGCACTACATCACCCTTGGCAGAGCACAAAAACCCCCTAGCATGATTGCTCAAGCTTGAAAGTAGAAAGGTTGCACCTGGGTTAATGATAAAGATGTGATTTGTCTATGTCTTACCTATAATTTGGATTAATGTCAAGATCATAATTGATAATTGTAAGATTGTAACTGCTATTGTCAAGATTATAATGGATTTTTTTAACTTTTATTTAATGAATATAGATTTCCAAAGTACAGCTTATGGACTACATTGGCTTCCCCCCCGCCCCTGATGACTTCCCTCCCACCCGTAACCTTCCCCTTTCCCGCTCTCTTTCCCCTTCTATTCATATCAAGATTCATTTTCAATTTTCTATATATACAGAAGATCAGTTTAGTATACATAAAGATTTCAACAGTTTGCACCCACATAGAAACACAGAGTGAAAAATACTGTTTGAGTACTCGTTATAGCATTAAATCTCAATGTAAAGCACATTAAGGACAGAGATCCTACATGAGGAGTAAGTGCACAGTGACTCCTGTTGTTGACTTTACAAATTGACACTCCTGTTTATGGCATCAGTAATCTCCCTACGCTCCAGTCATGAGTTTCCAAGGCTATGGAAGCCTTTTGAGTTCTCCGACTCTTATCTTCTTTAGACAAGGTCATAGTCAAAGTGGAAGTTCTCTCCTCCCTTCAGAGAAAGGTACCTCCTTCTTTGAAGACCTGTTCTTTCCACTGGGATCTCACTCACGGAGATCTTTCATTTAGGTGGTTGGTTTTTTTTGTTTTGTTTTGTTTTTGTTTTTTTGCCAGAGTGTCTTGGCTTTCCATGCCTGAAATACT